AAAAAAAAAAAAAAAAAGTCATTTCATAATTAGTCTTTAAATAAAATTGATTGATATAGAGAAGCGTTACTCACGGTGATGATGAGATAAGATTCAGGGGGCATCTGAAAATGAACATTTTTCTCGTTCGTAAAGCTCAAAACCAAAGGCTTGAAGTAGCTAGCGGCATCCCGAATGGATTTGAAGGGTTTTGGACCTTTCCAACACATGGGAAGGCTTTTGTCCTCAACTGCATCTTTCAATTTTCCATTCAAATTTTCCATTATCTACCAAAAAAAATAAAAATAAAATAAAATAAAAAAATGCAATCTTTATTAGACCCAACATTACAATCGTCCATTTCCAAAACTAACAAACAATAATAAAGATAAAATGAAAAAGAAAAGGAAGAATAAAATAAAGAATAAAATTGAAGGAACCATCATCTCAGCTCACCATAGAGACAATGACTTTATAAGCTTGAGAGACAAAATAAGAGTAAGTGCTTCCACTATCAAAAACTATTTCGAGGCCCTTAATATTTGTAGGCTGACCACCAAATCGGACGTCTGCTGATCCCAAGGAATAGTGCTTTCTGAATGCAAAAACTGGACACTGTAAGCGGCCCAGTTCTTAAAATAAAACCAACTACTTAAAAAAATCATGATAAATTAAATAAATAAAATCAATTCCGTTTGTAATTTGATAGAATTTTTTTTTCTTTTTTTTTTTTACCTCAGAAAAGTAGGTAGACTTTTTTTTTGTTTTTGGTAATTTCTTTCAGAGTTTTTATTATTACAGATAATGAAACTTACAAATGGTGGGTGGAAATCTTTTTCCATGTAATCCCTGATTTAGGAAGAAAGTCATCTCCAAAGAAAAGAAAGCCTCCACCTTGCCCGCTAAAACAGTGACCAACAACATTTCGAGTCACACCTAAGGCTCGTAGCTGGCTTAAGATGTTCGAATTACCGAGCCCGAGACCAAGGACTCCATCAGTGAAAGGCCGATTAGCTGAATCTATAACTTCTTGA